TCCAGAGACATTGACGCATGCAACAGACGATCATATTTCAGAGGAAAGGGGGAAGAGGGGTGGAGGGTGGGAAGAGATTAACCAAAGAAGTTATATGCATAACCCATGGGCACAGTAAATAACAGGGTGAAGGCCTGGGGAGGAGGTGGGAGCGAAGTGGAGAGGGTCAATGGGGGGAGGGGGGCGGGAATGAGATACCTGTAATACTCTCAACAGTAAAGATTTTAAAAAAAAAAAAAATGGCCAGTAGACATATTAATAAGATGCTCCACATCACTAATCAGAGAAATGCAAATCAAAACCACAATGAGATATCACCGCACACCTGCGAGTATGGTTTTCACCAATAAATCAACAAACAAGTGTTGGTGGGGATATGGGGATAAGGGAACACTGTGCACTGTTGGTGGGATTGTAAATTGGTGCAGCCACTATGGAAAACAGTATGGAGGTTCCTCAAGAAATTAAAACTAGAACTACCATATGACCCAGCAATCCCTCTTCCGGGTATGTATCCAAAGAAATACAGAACACTAATTCAAAAGGATATAGGCACCTTTGTGTTCACTGCAGCATTTTTTACAACAGCCAAGATATGGAAGGAACCTAAGTGTCCATCAACAGATGAATGGATAAAGATGTGGTACACACATACAACAGAATATTACTCAGCCAGAAAAAAGAATGAAATCTTGCCATTTGCAACAATACGGATGGACCTACCACATATTACACTAAGTGAAATCTAAAAAATAAACACACAAACAGAACAGAAAGAAACTCATAGATACAGAAAACCAACTGATGGCTGGCAGATGGTAGGAGGCCCTGGGGTGCTGGGTGAAAAGGATAAAGGGATTAAGATGTACAAACTGCCAGTCAGTAAAGTACAGCGTAGGGAGCAGAGTCAATAATATTGTAATAACTGTGCATGGTGTCAAACGGGTGCTAGGCTTATTGAGATGATCGCAAGGTATATAAATGTCTAATCACTATACCACACACCTGAAATTAATATAATGTTGTATGTCAACAGTAGTTGAAATTTTAATTTTTATTATTTTTTTAATATATCCTTATTGATTTCAGAGAGAGGAAAGGAGAGGGAGAGAGAGAGAGACAGAAACATCAATGATGAGAGAGTCATTGATCAAACCCACAACTGGGCATGTGCCCTGACTGGGAATCGAACCCTGATTGCCTGGATCCCAGGTCAACGCTCAAACGCTGAGCCACGCCCGGCCGGGCTGAAATTTTAATTTTTTCAAAAAATGATAGGTATTACCTGCTAATTTTATAAAATTGTGTACCATTAAAATAAANATGCTGAGCCACGCCCGGCCGGGCCGAAATTTTAATTTTTTCAAAAAATGATAGGTATTACCTGCTAATTTTATAAAATTGTGTACCATTAAAATAAACAGTAAATTTTAACTTTTCCCCTCCAAATAAATAGAAGAAAAATACGTTTTCTTGTCAACTAACTCATAAACCCCTTGAGGGCCAGGCCTTTGGATTCTAAGCACCTGGAACATTTTCAGGCGCAGTAGTTATTCAAAAGACGGAACTGAAAGCAGTGTTCAAATCAGTTACGCTAACATTAAATTATGTTTGGCATCTCTCTGGCTGTTGTCAAAAAGCAGCCAACAGCAAAATAAGACTTTTTTTCTTTCTTTCCGTTAAACACCATTTTTTAACAAATAGACAAAAGAAAAAGGAAGTTTCCTGATTAGTATGTTATTCCTGAAACTCCCAGTCTATAAAGCTAGGAAAGCCTGTTCAAGCAATGCTATTCTTTTTTTCTTTTTTTTTAAATATATCTTTATTGATTTCAGAGAGAGGAA